TTTGTTTTTTTTTTAAAACAAGCTTTTAATCAATCTTTTTTTCAAATGTTTCAAACCATTGTTTTAGGATTTATTTTATTGACAACGCTCTATATTTTAAAGCATCCGCGTAATCCAAAATTGGTAATATATTAACTAATACTAATATTACTATAAATAAAATTTTACTGGAAACGCTCCTTTTCTTAAAAAAAATTTTCTTTTCATTAGAATATGCCACCACTCGTTCGTTATAAAATTCCAATTATTGGACATACGTTTAGATATACGTTTAATTGTGAAAAATTCCTTGGTCAATGCAGAAAAGAGGTTGGTAAAATAGCGCATTAAATTTATTTACTTCATTAATATAAACTTTTTTTTTAAATTACTGTATTAGTATGGTGAAATGTTTAGTTTATATATATGGGGTCGAACAATTACGTTTGTTGGTAAAGTAGTTATCCGTATTTTTTGATTTAACATTTCAGTGATGCGGAATTAATATTATACCATACTTATAGGAAAAGAATATACGCATGAAGTACTCTCAAGAAGTGACGTGTTTGATTTTGGGGTACTGTTTAGAAAAATGATACCTGGTGATGTCATGTATACGAGTATTGATAATTTTGGCGATCTAAGATCTTATGGAAAAATGATTAGAGGATCATCTATTTCAAATAAATTGAATTTATATACTGAACGCATACAAAAATCACTTTATTTGGCCACTCAAAAACACATTGGTGATTGTAATGATCAAAAAGTAATTTATAATATTTATTCTGCGATAACAAAAATTATTTCAGCTTCTATCGCAAATGTTTTTATTGGTGAAGTAAGTAATATTGTGAGATTTTGTTTAAAAAAATATGTTAAAATTTTAAAATTTTCTTTCTGATTTTTTATTTCTTAGGAGGAATCAGAATATGATGATGTTATAAGCACTTTCGCGGAATTTACAAAAGATATAGCAGTATTTTTTTTAATTCCTCCAATTTTTGATTTAATTTTTCCAGGTCTTCAAGATTTTGTTAAACGTATTCCAATAAGATTAGGGTTGTATAATCCGGTAACTAGACATGTAAATACGCTTATTAAACATGTTAAACATCAAGTTGATAAGCGTTTAAGAGAGAAACAAAAATATGGTGATTCATGGAAGCGACCTACTGATTTACTTCAAGATTTTATGGAACAAAAAAGTTTTGACCCCAATAATATTAATTATACTGCATTGGCAAGTAATTTAAGCATATTTATTTTTGCTTCAATTCATTCAACATCAAGAGCTTGTGCAAATGTTGTTGTGGATTTAGCATCTCGACCTGAGTATATGCAAGAATTGTATGAAGAACAATTGGAAATTCATAAAAAGACTGATGAAAATGGTATACTTCCATTTGAATCACTTAAAGAAATGAAAAATTTAGATAGTTTTATTAGAGAATCATTAAGATTTACCGGAGATGTAGCTGCACTTCCACATTGGGTATTAAAAAATCACACATTTTCTAATGGATTGCAAGTACCAAAAGGTCATGTAGTTGATATTTATTCTTACGATACTTATCATGATGAATCACTACAAGGTCCAAATCCAACATCATTTGAACCACATAGACATAACGTTCCAGCATCAAAAGTTGGTAGAAATTTCCTGACATTTGGAGGTGGTAAACATATGTAAGAATAATATTCAACTTAATTATTTTTGAAACAAATATAAAATATCAATCTAATTAAATATCATAAATTATTTAGGTGCCCTGGAAGATTTCTTGCTATAAATGAAATTAAATTTTTTATGCATAATGCTATTTTAAATTATAATATCCGTACAGAAAGTGGTAAAATTGAGGATAAATTCAGGTTAGGTCCTGTAGCACTCCCAAGTAATAATGGAATCATTTTCGAGAAGAGGGCTAAATGAATTAAATATTATTTATGTTAATTTTAATTTTTTCATTCTGTAACTATCTATATATTTTTATTCCGCATCTGTATATTTTTTATTCTGCATCTATATATCATTTAATTCCGCATCTATACATCATTTATTCTGCATCTATAGTATATCTTTATTCATGTTTATGCTTATTCTATATGTAACAAGCTTGCTTAACTGATTTTAACTTTTATAATTTGTTCATGGAGAATTTTGAGGCGCAGTTAATTTAATGCAATTTAATATACACGGAATTTTTATTTTATTTTATTTCTTTATTGTCTTTAATAAAGACTTACAAACTTGGTATAGAAACTATATGATTAGCATAAACCAGAATAATAGTTCTTCAAACTGTTTTCAATATCTAATTATTTGTATTGTCAATAAACACATGGACTGTTTCTTCTTTTTCTATCGAATTAGTCTAATTACATTTGGCTTTATACAGTATCTCTCTTCAAAAATTCGAGACGTTTAGATTAGCCCGTATAAATAACTGATAATTTTAAATTGTGCAATGCATAATGCATCTGCGCCAGGTCTATCATGATTTCACTCCGATCATTCTAACCATATCATAATTCATATTCATATTCATTCATATATATTATATATTATATATTATATATTATATATTATTATTATTATTATTATTATTATGGGTTTAAAATTTGTGCGCATGTGCGCACCCCACGTGACTTATTAAAATTAGTTAAATTCTTTACTGAAACCCATGAAATCGGGGCTTTG